ACATAGTCATACAATGTAATATTAATCAAAAATTAAAAGGAACAAACTACTGATACACACAACATGAGGGAATCACAAAAATATTATGCAATGTGAAAGAAGAGAAGCTGGACATAAAATAATACATACATACATGATACTATTTATATGAAGTCTATAGCATGAAAAAATGATCGATAGTGGAAAAAATCAGAACAGTGATTCTCTTAGTGTTATTCGTGGAGCTAACTGGGTAGGAGCAGGAAACCTTATGGGATGACTGTAATGTTCTGTGTCATGACGGAGGTTTGGGTCATGCTGTACGCACTTGTAAAAATCCAGCAAAAGCACAACCCTTGTCCATGCTTTTCCTTGTTTAAAAATTTTACCTCAGAAGAAAAAATAAAAACTGTGAACAAATGTTGAACTCTGATTAATGATATGCACACACTGAAGTATTTATGAAGTGCACTGATCTTTGCAACTTGCTTTGAAATATGTAAAAAATAAGATGGAAAAAAGGTTGAATTCATAATAAAACAAATGTAGTATGAAATTAATGGCAGAATGTAGACAATGGGTGCATGAGTGTTCATTGTAAATTCCCTCAACTTAGTATGTTTAAGTCCTTGCATAACAGAATATGAAAATATAACTCTAGACACAGGATGTAGAATCAATCTTAGGCAGTCAAGAATAGATGTAGGAAGACCAGGTAGAAGATGTCACCCAATAGAAACACCATGGTATCTTGGTTAGGTGTCAGAGATGGGAGAAGCATTGGAGAGAAGATGTCCAAGTTTAATAAGATTTGGAGATGGTTTGGATATAAAGGCTAGGAAAGAGTATCAAGAATTTTTCAACAGTTGTGATGCTTGCAGATGGATAGGGTTGAGGTAAACTGAAAGTCACACATTTAGTTCTGCTGAATGAGATCCCTGGAAGATTTCTGAGCAGCTATGTTAGCTGGGCAGTTACACCAATGGGTCTGGAGCTCAGAGGTAAGGTTTGGACTGTATCTACACATTTAGATATCACTGGAAAATAATAATAAATGCAGCTAAAGCACAGATGAAGTTACCAAGAGTAGAGATTAGAGTTGGGCTAATGCAACGAAGAACACCTACGTTCAGAAGGTAGAAGCAGAGAATAAGACAAATGATAAGAACAGGAAGGGGACAGAGGAGGAATTGAACCCATAAAAATAATGTTGAAGAAATTTGTAAAACTACAAGCAAAAGAGAATTTTTGCCTGCTCTGGCACAGCTTCCTCATGAAGAATGATGACATGTTTTGTGAGCAAGAAGGAAATAGAAATACTCCTCTTTTTTACAAGTTGTCTGAGTGGAGGCCAGGTTACACATCTCTTATCCTCCCTGACACACCAGGTGAGGAAATTCAGAGATATGGTGAGAAACCATCACTTCTGAGGTGCTGACTCCACACCAAGGGGGTTGGGTCAGAGAACCAGGATCTGGGTGAGGATCTCCACAGTAAAATATTGAGAGAATCCCACGTCAGAACATACCAAGCAATGTGCTCAGAGGGCCTCATGCCCAAACCAGAACCTCCACCCTGAAAGATGTGACAGGGGTACAAACCCCCCCACACACATATAAAAGTTTACTAGTGGGTGCCAATCTCTCCCACTTCACTGCAGGCAGTTAAGGTTCAGCATTTGCTAAGGTTCCAGGTAGAAAGCTGGGCAGCCCCCATTGGGGAAGCTCCTTCTTTGTATATCTATCCCATTCATTAGCTTCTTGCTCTTCACCTCTTGCATCTAGAGCTAAAACCAGGAACATTCACCTGGTCACTCTCTTTCCTTACCAGGAGGAGAGAGTCAATTTCTGAAGTGCCGTTTTCACATCCTTATTCCGCAACGTGTAGATGAGCGGGTTCAGTGTGGGGCTGACTGCTATGTACAGCACAGCGACCACTTTGCCTGTATCCATGGAGGCGCCTGAGACTGGGAGGAAGTAGTTGTAGATAAGGGTGGAGTAATACAAGGTGACCACTAGGAGGTGGGAGGAGCAGGTAGAAAAGGCACGGCGCTTGCCTGCTGCTGAGCGGATGCGCAGGATGCTGGCCACAATGCAGCCGTAAGAGGCCAGGATGAGCCCAAAGTTGACCACGCCAAAGTAGACATCAGCCATGACGATCATGATGCTGTTGAGTGTTGTGGGGCTGCAGGACAGTGGGAGCAATGAGGGGACATCACATAGGAAGTGCTCAATGTGGTTGGGGCCACAGAAGGCCAGCTGTATCATGAGGCCCATTTGCACAGATGTGTTGAGCACACCAATTGCCCATACGGCCATGGCCAGGAGTGTACATAGCCGTCGGCTCATGATGGCACCATAGCGCAGTGGCCGGCAGATGGCCACATAGCGGTCAAAGGCCATGGCTGTGAGCAGCACCAGTTCAGCACCCAGGAACAAGGTCAGGAAGAAGAGCTGGGCCAGGCAGCTCCTGTAGGAGATGGTGCCCACCCCAACCATCAGGCTCTCCAGCAACTTGGGGAGAACGGTGGATGTGCAGGCAATGTCCAAAATGGCCAGGTTGGCGAGGAAGAAGTACATGGGAGTGTGCAGGGCTGGGCTCAGGCTGATAATTGTGAAGATGAGGCCATTTCCTGCAAGGGCCATGAGGTAGAAGAGGAGGAAAAGGGTTGAGAGCAAGCCCCGGACCTGGGGATCTTCTGAGAAGCTCTGCAAAAAGAACTCCACTACGGCCGTTTGGTTGCCTGCTTCCATGTGTGGAATCCTCTTGGGTCCTTGGGCAAAAATGAGTTATAAGATAGTGGGTGACATGGTCCTTGGCCATGACCCTGCTCAAACTCCACCAGGGATGCCTAGAAACTTTGCTCAGAGCACACAACTAAGGTATTAACATGTCCCTGCATCCTGGGGGCCAAAGCCAAACCAAACCCACCGGTATCGAGTCCATTCTGACTCATAATGACCTTTTAGGACAGGGTGGAACTGACCCATAGGATTTCCATGGCTCTAAATGTTCATGAAACCAGACTGCCTCATCTTTCTCTCTGGGAGTGGCTGGCAGTTTTGAACTGCTGACCTTTTGGTTAGCAGCCAAATGCTTTCATCACTTCACCACCACACCTCTCTTACCCTGGAGACAGTCAAGAAATGCTTTTCACACTGGACCCTCCCTAGTGGCCCCTCCTGACCCTAAAGATACCTCTCTCACACTCCTTCCCCCATTTGTGGCCAGGCCAGCAGTTCACAATAGGTCATACAATGAGTGCAGAATGAGTGTTTATTCACTTTAATTTAGAAAATGTCCTTCCTTATTTGGTGGCCCACTGGTCTTTACCTGCCTCTTGATGCCCAGGACTCCCCACTGACCAACTCAGGCACCAAGCCATGCTCTGGACTATGCATCCTAGGAGAAGAGCCTGGGATGCAGCCAGGACACTAAGAGTACTAGTTCCCTGGACAGACACAGGCTTGGGACAGGGAGGGGCAGTGGAGTGGGCTGCAGACTAACCTGCACAGGTGCTTTAGTCACAAACACGACTGTCTAGCCAGCTTCACATACTGCAGGTTGCTTACCAAGAAATGGCCAGCTCTCCCAAGGAGCAAAAGTGAAGGCCATCCCCATCCCCAGCTTGTATCAGGGCAGCAGAGCCCACTGGCAGTCACCTTGATCCAGCTTACAACCCCATCCCATTTCTCCTGGGCAAGTGAGAAGCCAGTTTCCTCAGCGAGCACCAGGCTGTGAAGGGCTGGGGACAGCAGAGATGGCCACATGCCAAGCCTCAGCACAGCTCCATGACCTCCCTACTGATGCAGGGACCCTAGAACCTCTGAGCCAGGCCTCTGGGAGCAGCTGAATCCACCAGCACTGAGTATCCCTTCCCTAGGGCCATTGCAATAACCAGTGGGGTTAGGAGAGTCCAAGGTCTTGCCCTGGATGCAGATGGAGTGAGGTGAGGGCTGCTCTAAGGCACAGTGCATGCATATGTACATGTTTTAAATGAAGCCTTGCCTCTTCACAGGTAATGCAGACAGGAGACTGCACATACTCAGGGACATAAGGGTAACCTTAGTGACCAGTTTGGTGGAGCTCAAGGGTAGGAAGGGTCTGGGTTTTCTGACCATGCTGACTGCTGGTTCATTAATGCCCTTGCCCTTGCCTTTGCCGCAGCAGTCCATCCACAGAACCAAGATTCAGGACTGGGCTCACCGTGGGGGCTCTGCCTCTGAGGGTTCCTGCCAGGCAAACCCCAGAGAACACACATGACTCCCACCTCCATCATCCACCAAAACCCTCCACTTGCAGTGACAATGCTCACACAACCTCCTGTGGTCTTTCCCCCCAACACTAAGGACCACTTCCCTGCTGATCCGCCTGGGGTCCTGCTGCTCCATGCCCCTGCCCCATTCCCTTTTCTCCCTGGGCTCTTGCACCAGATTCACAGAAATCTCGGTGGAGGGTCCCTGCTCAGCCAGCAACCTCCCACTCCCTTTAATGACTGGAATCTACTTGGAGCACTGCAGGTTTTCCCTCTTACCTGTCGATGAACCATGCAGATGGTCCAGATGGCAGCAGATGCAAGGCAGGCCAGGCACTTTACAGTTATAAACAAAAGACACAATCAAAACACTTTAGGGTTTTTTTTTTTTTTTCATTGCACAGAAAAATAGATAGGAGGAAAAGAAATCTGTCTTTCCAGAAACATCAGAAGCAAAATTAAGACAAATAGTCAAAAATGCCAGGGGTAGAAAGATAGACAGCTATCCAAGCAGTATCACTACAAAAGTACATTGCCCAGTTTTCCTTCTGAAGAGTAGCTGGTGGATTTGAACCACCTTCTGGTTAGCAGTCCGATGCCTTAGGCACTGCACCACCAGAGCTCCTATTAATACAATAGATCATCCTAATCCTTTTCTGTCTGAACATGATGCCACATTCATGGCAGCTGTGTAACATTTTACTCTGGTGGGGAAGGTGAGCTGTGTCCTGTGTCTAAATCCCCGTGTCTTGCTGCTGTGTGGCTCCTTTGTTAGCTGTAAGCCTTTAACTGGTGGCCATCCCCTCAGGTGGATGCTTCACTGGGGAGCTGCTAAGCTAGGCCCTTGAGAGCAATTACCCAACCTAGATGTAAGTGTCCCCACTGGGCTCAGTCTTGAGCTAGCTAACCTTAATGGACCAGGGGGTTTAATGGGCAGGTGGTTGGGGATGGGACTCCCATGTCTATCACTACCCACCACAGGGGAGGGGAGGACTTGTGTGCTTGATATGCCAGTTCGATGGCTTAGCAGGCAGAGCCCTGAGTGGAAATTCCTTGCCACCATGACTCAGACGAGAGCCTATGTACAACCTACCACTGTGGGAGAGATGGATTTTTCTTTAAACTGACTTTGATTTGTACAGCAGCTTTAGAGTGACAGAAAAGTCTGGAAGATGGGACAGAGATCTTCATATACCCCCTGCCAGAGTCCCCTGTTGTTAAGCCCTCATAGTAGGTTGGGAATTTACCATGACTAATGGAAATCTGGTGGGGTAGGGTTAGGGTCTTCAGATGCTAGCCAGAAGGTCAGTGATTCAAACCCATCAGTTGTTCCACAGGAGAAAGGTGAAGCAATCTGCTTCTCACATCCTTGGAAACCCTATAGTGCATTTCTACTCTGTCCTAAAAGGTTGCTTTGAGTCAGAATTAGCTCAATAGCAGTGGGTTTGGGTTTTTCTTGAATGAATCAATATTGATACATGACTTTTAACTGATGCTCACACTTTATTCAGATGTCTCCAATGTACATTTTCTGCTCACCCAGTGCCTAAGGCACTTGACTGCTAACCAGAAGGCTGGCAGTTCAAATCCACTAGCCACTCCTCAGAAGGAAGATTGGGC